TGAGGTCAAATTTTGTACATTATTTCTCACCAAACACATGTCAACGCACATCTCAAAGAATGAGGGTTAACTGTACAATCGGCTTCTGAAAATCGTCCACAAGACTCCGACAGCTCACCGGTCATGGACCATCAAATGAGCTTCTTACAGACGACAAGCTCATCGAGTCGTCAATCTCTCAAATCAGGAAATGACATGCCAAAATGACTCCAAGACATAAAAAATGAGCCGCGAGCTCCTGACAGCTTGCGGGTCACAACTCGATAGGCTGACAGCTCTTTAGACGAGATGCCCGATTACCCAACTGACTTGGCGCCTAAGTTTCTAGATTATGATAGATCCTCTACGATTTTCTCTCTCCGACCGTGCAAAATATGGATTTAAACGAGGTATCTCCTCCAAAGAAAGATTATCTCATCCCTCATTCAAATATTCAAACTCAGAATTTTATCCATAAGTTAGACCAACAATTTGAATTTCAAATAGCAAATCTTTTTTCAGCGAGAAGATCAGCCACCAAAACTATAAAAAAAAAAGGATTAGATCACACCCAAGCTTACCTTCTACATGCACAATATAGAAGCCCTAGCCTCCAATTATTGGCATCGTATAAATTTAACCGTAGAATTTCACCCTTTATACTAACAAACCATTTATCTTGAATGATAGTTTTGCTACAATAATATCAAACAGGCACAGAGCTCAAAAATTAAGTGAGCATAAATGAATATGTAATTTCAGATTTTAAGTGAGAATAAACATATATGATTTTAGATTTTTAGGAGAGTTAAAACTATAAATTTTAACAAAATATACATATAAAATTAACAAATTGTAATTAACTTTTTAAATAAAAAAATAACTCCTTTAAAAAGATTTTGAAATTTATATGATAGTTTTACTAAAGAGTTGTAAACTTCGTTCCAATGTTTTCATTCTTTTAATAATAATTTATCATTTTTGTCCCATTAAAACTCATTCAAAAACACAATTCCAATCATTATATAACCATAACTTTAACCTCCTTTTCTATTAGCGCCTAAACACATGAATAAAAGTTGCTCCAAACTATATGCAGTTTCTCATATATGTGGTCCAAGTGGGATGATACCAAACCCCTGCACATAGTTTATGAACCACCAATTAATTAATTTAAGCTTTTACAAATCCTAAACAACGTTATCATGACAAGACTTTCAGCCTTGTGCCATATCACAAACTTATAAAAATTATATGGAAAAGTTTCACTTTATTATAATATAACACGAATGGCCGAATTAGAGGTGAGAAACATGATTGGAAGAAATATTTGAGGGATGGATTAGAATAAAACTGATTCTCCACGAGCTTATGTCTCCAAAAGCAATCATAAATGAACGCTCCTTCATCCTTCCACATTCCAATATATAAAAACATAAATTATATACTAACGTCAATAAAGAAACGAGCACCCTCCTTTTGTAAATGTACGGTTTCTAATGATTTTGTCTCGATCCTTTACATACTAAAACAATAACGGATATTAACATTACCCTTATATATATATATATTCAGAAATTTAGTCTATACTTTTTAAAAATATTGAGATTATCCCTTAAGTTTTTTTAACCAGACAAAATTTAGCTCTATGTTTTTCACCGCACAAAATATGACCAAATATCTCTTTAATCGTGTAAAATTCACTTATGATGTCAAACTTACTCAAAATTAGTTCCGCAAAGAGAAACCCTTGCTACAAAGAAATGATGATCCATTCAGGGCATCTCTAATGCAATGCCATAATTAATATACTAATTATAAATTTAATATTTTAGTGCAAAAAACACTCTACAATGTAATCCTATTTGTTGTGTTAAATTTCTCATATGTTATACTTTGTGGTAAATTTTTCACCAAGTATAGCATATGAGAAATTTAACTTTTGATTGCTATTAGTTGAAATGTTTACTTTTTCACATAATCATTAGAACTTTTACATTTCTAATTACTTTAAGCATAAAAGTTTACTTTTATAACTTTCAAAACATAATAATTATAGAAAAAAGTAGACTAAGCATTTCAAATAGCATTATACATTAGAATAAAAATGAAAATAAAATACTATATCACACTTTTTGATAGTAAATATATAATTAGTATTAGCATTTGTATTGGAGATGATATTAGAGAGCTAAAATCCTAAATACCATAACTTTGATCTTGAATATCTCTAGCAACTTAGAATAGTACTCAGTTTGAATTTGTTTTTGTTTTTTGTTTTTGTTTTTGTTTTTTTTTTTTTGGTAAACAAGGTGTATCCAAAATGATATTATCTCTCAATAAACATAAAAAGAAAGGATTGACAACATTGTCAAATTGAAGCCGTATCATAAATGAGGAGTCTAAGAGCATATATAATATAATGCTAAATTAGTTTGGCAATGCTTGGCATTAGAGTAGAATAATCACTCTCTTATGTAATGCAATATTTTGTGCTAAATTTTTTATATGCTATATTTGATGGCAAATTTATCACTATATATAGCATATGACGATTATAGCATTTGATTATTACTCCATCTAATCATTAAGCCCTTTGTAATTTTAATCATTAAGCCCTTTATTTTTTCCATCTAATCATTAAGCCCTTTGTATTTTTAAATTATTTTAACATGAAAAGGTTATTTTTACAACTTTTAAAGCTTAATAATTATGATAATAAATAAATTTAACATTTCAAATAACACCATGCATTAAAATATAAATGAAAATAATATATCAAATATGTCATTTTTCCACTTTTTTAATGCCAAATATGCGAATGATACTGGCATATGCATCCAAAATTGTCCAAGCATAGGAATTGTATGTAATTTTATTTTATTTGTTCTCAAATGTATTGTATTACGCTTGCAGTATTTTTAAGAGAAACCCAAACCCAAAGCCCCTATGCTAGTTCCTGGATCTGCATATAGGGCTTGGCCACCGAGATGGTGAGCTCATTAGGCCCATTAAAAGCCCAACATGCATAGTCAAGACACGAGCCTTCAAAAGCAGAGGAGAGTGTAGATCGCGAAGTTGGGCCCACAATCATAACTGCGAACGAAAATAACGGTAACATCGCCTTCTTCTTCCCTTGCATTCGCATGTTGGCGCCTTTGCATTTTTTTTTTATTTCTCTCTCTGTTTTTTTTTTTTTTTATATCCATATTTTTTTTGACGATCCGTATTTGTATATGTGTATTTTTCAGTATATGCCTATTAGATTTTGCGTAATGAATAAAAAGTCCTCCAATTGCACAAGATTCTATTGTTGTTAAAAATTATGTCCGTAACGTGTTCGACGAAATGCCCAAGCGTTTCTTTATTTTTATTTATTTTTTACTACTGCAATGCGATAAGATTAGTGAAGATTCCGTTCATACCCTGCAGAAAATCAAGTTATGGATGTGGCGCATTGCCATCTCGACGGCAACGCCGACGCTGTAGAGTTTTGTCCTCACGACTCGTACCGTCATGTTTTGGCGGCTTCTACATACACATTACAGGAGGGTGATCAACCCAATAGAGCCGGGAGCGTATCTCTCTTCAGCGTTGACGCTGAGGCGCGTCACCTGGAGATGTTGCATCGCGTCAGCATGGCGGGGATCTTCGATATAAAGTGGAACCCCGTTGGTGGTCATTCTAGTCCTCTGCTTGCTCAAGCTGATACAGATGGTTACTTGAGAATTCTCCGTCTCCGTAGCGGTTCGGGTGGAGCAGATGGTATGATATGGTCATGTCCAAGTTTCCATTTTTCCTACTTGGATTTTGAAGAGTAAAATAGTTTTTTGCTTAAGTAATATCTATCTATCAAGCAAATTTACAAAACGATTTTAAGAGAAACACTCATTTGTGACATGACTTCTTAAATAACTTCTATGCAAAATGACTTTGCTTTTTACACTGCGCACTTTACATTTTATACCGAGTGTCTTAATAAAGCACTTAGTGTAGAAAAGAAAGCTCATTTTGCTAATTTCACTTTCCAAGATTGTCACGGGGAGATATTTTCAGTTTCTCTGAAAACACCGTTAGTTTATTATGGCTTATTCTTGGTGCAGGATTTTCATTGGAAGAGATAAATGGTAAGAAAGTCAGTTCCTCAATGTGCCTTTATTTGGATTGGAACCCTTCAGCAACAAGCATCACAGTGGGGCTTTCGGATGGTTCCGTCGCAATAGCTTCTTTCGCGGAGTCCCAACTCGAGGTCCAAGAAAAATGGAAAGCTCATGATTTTGAGCTCTGGACAACTTCCTTTGACACCCACCAGCCCCATTTGGTGTACACTGGCTCTGATGATTGCAAATTCAGTTGTTGGGATTTGCGCGACGGTCCTTCGAAGCTCGCGTTTCAGAACTCGAAGGCCCACACGATGGGTGTTTGTTGCATTACGAAAAGCCCTTTCGATCCCAACACAGTACTCACTGGTAGCTATGACGAAAACCTGAGAGTGTGGGATGTGAGGGCAATTTCAAGGCCAGTAAATGAGACTTTTGTCGGTTTAGGTGGCGGTGTTTGGAGAATCAAGCACCACCCTTTTGTTCCGGGCCTCGTGTTGGCTGCTTGTATGCACAATGGGTTTGCAGTTGTCAAGATTAGAGGAAATGAAGCCGAAGTAATCGAAAGATATAGTAAGCATGAGTCACTTGCATATGGAGCTGACTGGTGTAGAGAAGAACCAGTCATTGATGGCATTAGGAGTTCTCTAGTGGCCACTTGCTCATTCTATGATAAGCTTCTTAGGGTGTGGATTCCAGAAAGTAACAAAGTTAAGTGATGACGTAGGACACAGGCAATAGTCAACAGTTTCCTATTTTGGAGTTTCTTAATTTTTAGATTAATTTGTTTTCTATTCAGTATTATCTCTATAATTTGTTAAGTTTCCCGTTTGATTTAGTTTTCTGTTTCTAGACTAAATTTCTCTATTTCAAACCCCAAATTCTCTGGTTTGAGATAAGTTATTAATAACATTGTCAAGGTTTCAGACAAATTTCCTTATTCTTCATCTTTAGACTTTATTTTAAGATCATTTTGAGATGGATTAAAAACAAGATCCAATGTTGTCACTTTTGGGGATTCTATTTTCTAGTTTGTTTAGTGTACATTGGTTTCGATGCCTGGACTTAGGTCTTTCTGTATCCGTTACTAAGGGTGTACTCGGTTCGGTCGGTGCGGTTTTTTGTACCGCCGGCCAACCGAACTGTGGAAGACTAGAAACCAAAACCGACCAACCATGTAGGGGTGGCCGAACCGAACGCCCATACCCAAGTCGGTTCAGTTTTAGTTTAAACCTTTTTTTTTGCAGTAAAAACTAACGAAACCTGTGTTTTTGCTTCTGCAGCATACAAGCATAAAAACTTGTGTGAAAAATCATAATTTTATAAAAACCTAATCTCAGCTTCATAAAAGCTGGCTGCGAGTTCATAGGGCCTGGTGAGAAAATCAGAGACTTGCTTTCGGTCCTGGGAGTCTGGGAGAAGCATGACTAACAATCAGAGAACAAAACGAGATTTTAGAAAAACAACACATAAAAAAATCATAACCTTAAAAAATCTTATGAAAGAAACCCCTACCACGAGGTCCACGACGGTGGCAGAGGAGCGACCGCGGCTTGAGAGAATAAGGAAGGAGAAGCGATGTGGCGGCATGATTTAGGGTTTTTTCCAAACACCAGATATTAGATAGGATGAGAAATGAGAGAGGGTCGAAGAGGGTGGTTTGTTAGGGTATTTTGTGTCAAAGGACTCAAAATGTCGTTATTTTTAGTAAAAACTTTTTTTTTGGGCTTATTTTTCGGTTTGGTTTGGTTAAAACCAAACACAAAAACCCCTAAACCAAAACTGACTGAATTATCTCACAGACAGTTCGGTTTCAAAACCAAAATTTTCAGTTTTCTCAATTTCGATGCTTCTCGGATCGGTTCTGTTCAGGTTGGGTCGGTGGGTGTTGGTTTCGGGTATCCATGAACACCCTTATCCGTTACTGCAAGAAAAATTGAGAGCTTGTTCTTTTAGAGTTTAACTTGAGTATAATTTTTTAGTTGAATTTGAGTTATAACTTGAGTTGAACATGTAACTTGAGTTTGTGTTTGATTGTGTACATTTGAGTTATGATTTGAGATAAGAATCTTTTTGAGTTTGTGTTTGAGTGAGTCAAAACTTGAATTTGTATTTAGATAATATTTTAATAAAAACTCAGTGCTGATGAAAAATTTTAATAGGGTATATGGGTCGAGTTTTATTCGTCTTTTCGTTGTCAACGCATAGAAAAAAAAATCATCTCAATCAGAATTAAAACGAAAAAGTTATAGCACTTTTAAGAATAGAAAAAATGTTGTTCATTAATTTGAGTTCGAGTTTATGAACTCGAGTTGAAGGGCCCCGTTCATTTCGCTGATTCGAGTTTAGAATTCGAGTTTTGCTACAGTAAAAAGCTCTCACAAACAATCACATCTAACTTTTTTGTTACAGTAAAAAGCTCTCACATAAAATCACATCTCAACTCGAATTAAAAACTCGAATCAGTGAACTAAACGGGCCCTTAAACTCAAGTTTTAGTCCTAAACTCGAGTTTGAACTCGAGTTTAAACTCGAGTTTAAACTTAAAAGAACATAAACTCGAATAAAGTTGTAACTCGAGTTACATTTTTTTTGAGTTTTTCACTCAAAAGAACAAGCCCTGAATTGTGGCCTATTTTGAGACCTAAACAAATGAACTTGGCGTGTTTAGCTCAGACATGTAGCCTTAAAACAAGGGGGTCATGCTTTGCTAAAGCTTTTATTATAAATTTATAAAAGAATAAAAAATGTCAAGAATAAACAATTTAGATATGTTTTTATCTTTGTTTAATGAGTTCTCTTATTTTAAAATAAGTTTGAATGTTGGGAAAGTAATGCATGTAAGAAAAAGCTCTTCCTGAGTGGTCAATTTTTATAGTTTCCATATAAAGGACTACTTTTTATACAGCATTTTCTTCATTTGAAAAAAAAAAATAATGAAAGAAGCCATTTAGTAAATCAAACCCAAAGGTGACCAACCTATTTGCCATAGAGAAGGTCCACTAGCGTAAATGGAACTGTGGAAGCAATCCTGTAGTTTAACCAAACTTATAACAAGAAGTAAATGCATGTTGTGATTATGTTCTTGTCCTATATCATTTTTTGTCCCTGTTGGTGTAATAATGTACAACCACGCACACATAAAATAAGTTTTTTTTTTTTTTTTCTCTTTCTCGTCGTCGTCGTAAACTAGTATCTTGTGCATATACACATACACACACCAACAAGACCTATAGTTGGCGTTATTATTGAGTAAATTAGCTTGACACTGACAAGATCCCCTGTGTGTTGGACCTAACATAAATTCTTATTAGGTTGGTCCTCACTCTTGACACCGAAAACTACTAATCATATAGAATTCTATTGCCTTGGAGCTTGTGGTCCACCTTTCAAAGTTTTCAAAATTTTCAAGGGTTATTGGATTTGCATTTTATTTTTTGTTTTGCTTACGGAAAAAAAGTATATAAGGTTGTGTACTTAAATAAATATGTGTTTTAAGTTGCATATTAACGCTTCATGAAGTTGATTATTAAAATATCATCTATTGTGGTGAGAATTATTCAAACCCGAAATTTTATTCAGCAAAACAAGTAGCTTTATCGCCTCATCAAATGATAAGTGGTCGGTGATTTGTAATCTGAATTGTCAACATAGTATCTTGTTTATGTAATATATACCGTGGGTTGTAAAGGCTGTTTTGGTGTATGTTGACGGACAAGTGATGATGAATCTTTGATGCTAATACGTAGATTTAGAGTATAATCTAGAGCTAAAAAATGGAAAAGAACACCAGAATTTATAGTGGTTCACTCAAATGTTAGGCTACGTCCATTGTGTGAGTATTTTTCACTAATCGTTTTGGGATAAATTACAATCTTCCACAGGGTGCCCTCTGGAAAGACATTACAATGCTATTTCCCCTCAGAATGAGAGAGATAGAAAGATATTAAGTGATTTTTTTCTTAGAAGGGAGTCCCCCTCCTCCCCGCCTTTCCTCTTCATATATACAATCATATTTGTTTCTCGCCCAGCTCCTTGGGCCGTACTCTGAGCCGGTCTTGCCACTCCTCGGAACATTACCCTCTGGTGACTGAGATGTTGGCTGGTCTCTCACACTCTCCATTAACTCTGCATGCATTTAATGCCTACCACACTTCTAAAAAGCTGCCACGCTGTGCGAACGTGGGTACGGTCGGTGCCTTAGTACTCCTTGAAGCAGTCTTTACTCCTAAGGGGAGAATAATGTTGACCGTGTGATGCAATCTCTAATGCGGTCGCCCTCTTTTGAGTTTTATTTCTTATTTACGGTCAGCGTCTAGAGTTTGTGTCTAAGAGGATACGATCCCTTGCGTTCTACTGACCCGGTCATTTAATATTTGTAATGCCACGTGACGAACGTCTACGTGGCAACCATTTAACAGTTGACGTGGAGCGTGGAATTTTTCCATATGACAGTGTACATAATGTTATAGCTTGTAAACTTCACTAGAAATATTATTCTTGTATTTTGTCCTTTTTTTTTTTTGGTCTCCCTATTGGTTTGTATTTTTCTTCTTTTGCCCAATAAGAAGTCCGGAGAAAGATAACGTTTTTGAGGTTGAGTTTTCAAGATCATTTATCACCAACTATACTGCAAAATTCTTACGAAAGTCTCACAATCATTTCCTCCTTTCCTTCCTTTCTCCTTTTTTATTATTTTTTGTCTTTGGTATTACTTTTGCATTATTGTGGGAACTTAAGCATCACGAGAGAGATAATATTGTCCATGTCTTTAATAACTCCCTTTTTCCTTTGACAATAATAAATGATGGAACCGATGGTCCCATTTGTACACTGTGAAGCTTACCCTTAGATTTGGATCAGTTGAGAAAAAGAAAATACAAAGTGGGAATATACAAATAATTACATATTGAATAGTTTACTTGTTACAAAACAAATTCCTCATCATTTGAAAAATCAAATTATAATTGAGATCTTGACATTATATTCTCTGTCAATTTTTCTTGGTAACCACTAGCCAAATGATTGTCGAGAGGAATAAATTCCAAGATTTAATTTGCAAAGTCACTATTTTGCATTGGTGTCGACCTCTCAGGTTCAAGTACCATTGAGAAGTGGTCGAGACTACTTTTAAGCTACCGCCTCAATGCCTTTTTAGAGTTAAATTGATGCGTTTCATCTCCTAATTATAACTCAATGCGAATATTTCTCAAGGTCGTACCAAATAATAGTTAGCTCCCACACTTTTTTTTTTTCCAACCAAAAGTTTGCAAGTCACTTATGAAACTGTTCCAAACTTCAAAGATAAGGTGAAAAACTATAGACATTGTTGAATTATTTGGGAAAACACAATGTCCTAGACAGAGAGGCATTTGGTGTATCTCATGGTTTAGGCAAAATAATATATATTAGCTGGACACCAAGACCAGTGGGGTCGTTTGACAGAATATGCTCAAAGCCTCAAACTGTGTCCTAAAACATGGTTTTGTGCCCTTAGAAGCTGCCCCATGCACATGGAACTCTCTATCTTCTATTATTATTATTATTATTATTATTATTTATTATCATTTTTATAACTTAATTTTTTGAATTTATAGTTTCATGTCATCTTTTTTTTTTTTTTTGGAAAATTGATTTCAGGCCTGAAAACAAGTTGTGTTCAAAAAAGAAGGGAGAGAATCATGGTAGGGACCTTCTTCAAACATTGGTGAGAAATGACATTGCAATAAAACATCTTTGGGTACGTTATTTATTTATTGGTCTTAGAAATTGGCCTATCTAAATCATGTCACCGCCCAAAAAGACTTGAACAGAAGAGAAGAAAGCACAAACTTTGCGCACCTTTTAACAAGCCCAATTATTCAAAAGATCCTAGCTTTAAGGAGTGTTGATCATTAAAAAGTCGTTTCAAACCTAGACCATATGTTGGAATAACATTAATTTAAGAGAAAAAGCTAATTTTGCTAGAGGTCTGACTTCTTTAGTATAATATAAAATTCTCAAAAAGTAATAAAAATTCAACGCGACTCTAGTAGTTCGTCTTCTATTTCCATTTTCTACATAACTTCACTCTCATAAAAAAGAAGATTATAAGAAAATCACACATGTTACGACTCCTAGACTATCTATGTTTTTTTGTTGATTCTCTTGATAATATGGCACTACACTTAAAAAAAAAAAAGACTTTTTCTAGTACGTTAATATATTAAAAAATTAAGTTTTTTATCTGTTAAATTTATATAAAATCACATAAAAATTAAAAAAATATACAAATTTAACGATTAAAAAGCCTTAACATATCAGTACGCTACACGTACTAAAAAAATCTCTAAAAAAAATAGTAAACTTTTCTAAATTTTGTATTTTTGACGTGGAGATTTATTATTTATTTAAGAAGCATAAACAAAGTATCACAACAGTAGAGGAGCCAAAATTTTTTTTTCCCCAAACAATTTGAGCCATGTCAATGCTTCTACTGCCAAGACAAAACTGGTTCTCTCGCCTGTGATTCAACTTTCCTGTCTCTTTCTGTCTTCATTGAAATATAAAAAACTCTCTCTCCTCTCTCTCTTATCTTCCCATGAAAGTACTTCCACTGCATAGCCAGTCTCATGTGCACTATCTCCAACAGAAATTTCATCAACCACTAAACACCCAAAACTCATCATTCTAAGCTCCTCTCTTATCTTTCAAAATCATATTTCACTTGCTCAACACCAACCAACCAAAAAAAAAAAAAAACCCAAAAAAGATGTCTCTCATTAGGTTGTAGATATGTCAACACTCAAAAACTACTTCAAAAAAGGCTACTCTGTAATGGGTTGTCTTAAATTAAGAACTTCACGGGTGGTTCTTATTTTCTGTGTCTTTTCACTTTTGTGCTTCAAAGGACACTGTGAATATGGTCCAGTGAAATTCTTGAAGGCTCCTAATGCATTCTCACATAGGAACTCAGCAACATTCATATTTGAGCTCAGCAATTGCTCTAATTGTACCTTCACTTGCAGTAATTGTACCTTCACTTGCAGGGTATGAATAAACATATGCCACTAAATTCTAGTATTACTTCAGCCCTTTTTTTTTTTTAGAATTTTTCATTTGGGATACAAAGTTTGATTCTTTTATATGTGTGTATGCATGCAGCTAGATAATGGGGTTGCCTCAAAATGTGAAGCTAAAAAGGTTTCATACACAAGATTGAAAGATGGGAAACACACTTTTGAAGTTTGTTCCAATGGGCTTCAGGGATTGGGATGTGCCAGCTATAACTGGACAATTGGTTAAGAACCCTTCTTTTCTTCATCCTTTGGAGTAATTTTCTCTTGTGAGAGAACCAAAAAAAAAAAAAAAAAGTTATAAATACATGAATTAAACAAACTCATTCATTATGCTGCATTTCTTAACTTTTGCAATTTTGCCCTGCTTCAGCTTTAGTGGTAAGAAGAATGTGGCCTAACTTCTCTTAAGACAGAAGAGTAATGAACTTTTTGACAAATGTTTGTGTTTATCCTTAAATCCCACTTACTATTAAATTCTCATGTTATTATTGTTATTTTGGTTTGGATGTTTCTAATTGAATCCAAGCTTGGGTCCACAAAGTAGTGGATTGTACGGAAAATGGACGTATTTATTCAAGTTCAGATGTATTTGCAGTGAATTTCAACTTTACCATACGCATCAGATGCTGATGCTAATGTGTACTGTTTCTTACTTTTTTTTTTTGCAGATACAGTTCCTCCTACAGCATATATCACTGCCCCTAATCCTTTTACAAATGCTTTGAATTTTTCTGTAAATATATCATTCAGTGAACCTTGTATTGGTGAAGGAGGTTTTAGATGTTTCTCTGCAAATGCCTGCAACGTGAGTAGGTGGCCAACTGACATTCAATTTGACTTCTTAATGTTTTGCTTGTTCTGTTCATTCTGGTTTCTGAAACTTCTTAATGTGTTGTGCAACCATAAAAATAATAATAAAAACAAGCATGAATCTCATTTTTAGTCCCCGAACTATAGGCCGAAATTCTATTTTGGTCCATGACTTCTCAATACGCGAGGACCGTGTGCAGTTGTGGGGTTAGTTTTGTTATTTTATATGTTATGACACAACTGTTAAGAAGGAAGTGGTGTTGAGATTTTCATTGTCGGATGGACAAAAGAACTAGTTCGGGACAATTTGGTTGATTGAGGACTCATTCTCGGATATTTTAAAAGTTAGGGATCAAAAGTGAGATTTGGCCTATAGTCAGGGACTAAAAATGAGTTATCCTAACGCATTTACATGTGATTACTAGTTTTCATGTATCGCGGGGAATAACTTTTCCCATTGAGGATTTCTGCTCAATCATTTGAGTAATTTGAAAACCCAATACAAAAATCTTGGTTTTTTGTGGCAAGTACTTAGGGTCTGTTCACTTCGCTGATTCGAGTTTATAATTCGAGTTGAGATGTGATTTTATGTAAAAGCTTTTTACTGTAGTAAAAAAGTTAGATGTGACTGTTTCTGAGAACTTTTTACTGTAGCAAAACTCAAATTCTAAACTCGAATCGGTGAAGTGAACGGGGCCAGTATATAACATGAAAATAAATTTTAATGTTGTGTGTTTTATTTCCCGCAGCTGCTAGTCTATGGTCCGGGCCAAGTTATACCAACTTCACTACATGTTCTGCAGCAAAACCTAACATATTCTCTTGCTGTGAGCTTATCATCCCAAGTTCAATATGGAAGAGTGGTCCTTGTAATGGATAAATACTTCTGCACTGATAATGCTGGAAACATATTTGAAAGAGCAGCAAATTCAAGTTTCTATGTCCATTTTGGTAAGTGGGTGTATGTCCATTCTTCATGTCATACGCACATTATATATTTACGTCGGAAAATTGTATGTCATAAGCTTTCCTGTTTTCTGGAGATGGATAACCTTTGTAATTTACCATTCCTAGATAAATGTTAAGCCATTTTCTGAAAATCACAATTCGTACTTGATGTCCACGTTCAAGTCTGTGTTATGGTGTTATTTTTGCAGATAGAAGAAATGTATTTGTCAACCTAAGGATTCATATTCCGGAAAGGCTACTTCAACTTGGTGGTCAAACTAGAACAGTGCTGGCAACAAATAACTACAATCACCTCAAAGTGTATCTATATTTCTCACATCCAGTCCTTAATTCATCTGCAGAAATTCTAAATTCTCTGAACATAAGTCAGGGATCACTCCTTCCCATTAGTGGAAACAATGTTGGGAACCGCAGATTCGGCTTTTTGGTCAGTTGTTTCATAGTTCTGAATGTACTTAATTTTGTGGGAATTCTGAGGTTGTGTTTGAGAAAAAATTAAGACAGTTCTAAACCATTAGATCACATCATAGTCATATCAGATTAAGAAATGTATGACAATTCAACGGAACTTGATAAAGATACGATGGTTTTAACTGTTCCTACTGTAGATTTTTTTCCTTACTGTAGATTTTTTTCCTTCTTCATTATCTTACCAGAGAATTCTCCTAATTTTGTATGCTGATTCTTGTATCTCTTAGGCCTATGTCTCCTTTTCCTCATAGACTGTGCTTGTCCAATTTTGTTTACATACAGGTTGAAAATCTATCTAGCATTTCCATAGTCACATTAAGCCTCAACTCAAATCTCATAATAAGCAGACAAGGGACTCCGGTTTCTCCAATTTCGCCTGTAACTTTTCTTTATGGTAAGAGCTACTTTTGATTTCAGAAGTAATATAAAAGATAAGGCTTTTTTTACATCTTGTGGTTAATTCCATTTTGTATTTGATCATTCTATTCTGATGTGGACTTTTCAATATGAACTTAAGATTCCAATAGGCCTGCTGTGAAGTTGAGCACCACATCTAGTGTGAGAACAAGAGAAAATATTATTCCCATATCAATAATATTCAAGAAACCTGTATTTGGTTTCAACTCTTCTTCTGTATCAGTCTCAGGAGGGAATGTTCAAAGGCAAGTATAAATATTCTGCCTATCTAAATATTTGTTTGTTTAATACACGCACAAACATATTTGAATTTGGGGGTGCGGGTGATTCAAACTCAAGACCTCGACTTTGAGATAAATGTGGAATTACTGCTCGGCTAAGCCTGCGACCTCATTTTATTTTGATATACGAAGAATATGATCCTCAATTATACTTTACAGTAATTTTTCTGAATTAATGTTACAATGTTTTCTATTCCTCAGTTTTCATCAAATAAGTAGGAGCGCATACATCATTGACATACAAGCAAGTGATGATATAGTATCTGTCAATGTTCCGGAAAATGTTGCTGGGGATGTTTCTGGAAACCAAAATCTGGTGTCCAATGTTCTACAAGTGAGGCACTGTAAGGGTTCAGTTTTCCACTAAAAAGTCCAACAAGTAATTATTTGCACAGTGGTGGGGGTTTTCTTTCTGTATATTCTTGTCCTACTAAATAAGTCTTAAACATATGTACAGATTCAGTTCCTTTGATATCTTCTGTGGTTTCTGCCCTCGTAACTGCTTCATTTTTGGCGATGTCTCTTGCTGCTGGGATTCTCACTTTCTCAACTGCAAGCCTCCAAACTTTTTGGACATTTAGAGGACCATCTTCTTTGACGATTGATCCTTCAAGAAGTCTTTTCGTATGATACTTGACCTATCCGAGAAAATTTCTCACTATATATATATATATATATGTATTTTGAACTTGAGAGTGGGGGGATTTGAACTCTACACCTCAAGATGGACTCAGGTCTGGATTTACTGCTACGCCATGCCTACAACCACTTTTCACTACTAATTATTACTCATACCTTTAATTTTCTAATTCAAATTACGAACATTGTAGTTTCTCCAAACAATTGATGATTCACAACTACTTCCTTACCACCATTATAAAATGAAACTAATGCTTATTCCTTTTTTTATTATTATTTTCCAGAGAATTGCTTTCTACATCCAGGTTTTCGCGCTATCTAGATGGTTGGCAGTAATGTTGCCAGTTGAGTACTATGAATTTGCCAGGGGAATTCAGTGGAGCATTCCCTATTTTGATCTCCCGTGGGAAAATGGGCAAAGCAACCCAGTAATTGTGGGCTCTAGTCCTTATCCCAGCTTAAGTTCTCATACCTCTATTTTTTATTCAGAAAGTTTCCGAAGCCTGCAACTGAAAGAAGAGAATCCAAATATGACTGCTCCAATATATGGTCTTCCACTCGGTCCGATGGAATACAGATTCTATTTTGAGGTCATAAATGTTAACCTCTATTGTAGCTAGTTGGTAATTTCTGTTATAAGTATTAAGTGGTGATTTGATGTTGATGAGCTACATTGGTGTTATTGCAGAGCCAAAATATTAAACCAGAAGCTGAAGCACTTTTGGAGCCTCAAAACTCAAATGGGTAATGTTGATAGAAAGTATACCAAAATCTTTATGTTATACACAGGAGCGGAGCTATACGAGGCCTGGGGGTAGCTGCCCCTCCTGAAATTTTTTTAATTACAACATTTATATGATTTTTTTAAAGTAATTATACCCTATGTTTTGATCATTTTTAAGTACTCGTTTCAAATGTAAAATCTCTGTCAAATATCTACTATACTACTATATAAATTCACAAATTTTGAACTCTAGAGTTAAATATATAATTAGACTCTATTACAAGCACAGTTCATTTTGGGAGGAAAAATCAAAGATACAAATAGGTCATGGAAAGTAGAAGACTATTTACATTGTAGTTAGTGTAGCTAGTTGATATTTTCTGTTATAAGTGGTGATTTCACGCCCCCATGAAAAAAATTTCTGGCTCCGCCACTGGTTAATATGCTTGACTTGCCTATATATATTTTAGTGTGACACCAATTATACTTTGCAGCAGATTATTTAATTATGCAGTCAAATATATCAATCAAGTGATTTCAAATAACAGAATTCCCTTCATGCTCTAACAAAAAATATCTTTGTTTTGTACCTGTATATTGGACTAAAGTTATTCATAAAGGTTTTTGTTTTCCTTTCTTTTCTGTAGGTGGAAAAATTTTGATAGAAGCATGTTTTGGTTAGCTTTGATTGGTGGCAGTTTAGTCTTGCTGCATGTCTTACCCCTTTTCTTCATGAAGTTGAGAAAGAAAAGTTCCGAAAATCGGAAGGGCTATAAAGCACTCACCTTCCCAAGATTTGAGATTTTTCTTATCATTCTGGCACTTCCTTGTCTCTCAGACGTTTCTGCTGCCCTAGTTAAAGGTATCTTGGATGTTATTTCCTTCTTTTCTCTTCAACTAAACTAACTATTTGCATTAGTTAACTACCTCCTTTTCAGTTGGGTAATTTGTACTGTTGTACTCTGAATTTTTGTCATTTGTAAGTTGACCCTAAACTTTTAATTTTGGCATTTAGGACCTAAGTTTTATGATTCTTGGAAATATAATCTAATTGATAACGAATGTCAATAAATAAACAGCAGTTCGGGTTCGAAATTTAGAATCAAAACGTTCAGGGTCCCAACTCGCCAAACATCAAAAAGTTTTTGGTTAATTTTTGTGCTAAAATTGTGGGACATTCCGTTAGCTAGTGGACCATAATATCAATGGATTTTAACATTCATGGTTCCATTTTCTAAAGTTAAAAGTTCGAGGTCCCAGTTGCAGAAAACCCCCAAGTCTCCTAGTTTTTCTTGTAAGTAATCATGCTAAGATCTATAACAGTTTATATAGCAAGTGCTAAAGTAGCAAAACCAAAGCATCCACCATTTGGTGTGTAACTTAAAATCAAGTCCAATCAAAACACATCTTTTAAATCACATGATATTTAATTTATGTTTTCTTCATGATTAGTCTTCTCGTCATGATTATTAAATTCAAATACATAGTCACTTACATTGTCCTTATTATCTTGCTTTCTTGGTTGAAGGAAAGGGTTCATCAGGGGCTATAGTTGGCATTCTGTTGTTGGGAGTAGTGTCACTTCTTCTGCTAGCCTTGTTCATTTTCCTCTCATTTGGAATCACTTTTGGGAAGCTACTTCAGTACAAGGAAGTCCATAGAGAAGGTCAAACATTCCATTGGTATCAAGAACTCGTCCGGGTCACACTTGGTCCTGGCAAAAGAGGCCAATGGACTTGGAAAAGACAAGCAAACTCAGACTACTTGATTATCTTAGGCCCTCTATTTGAAGACCTAAGAGGCCCTCCTAAATACATGCTCTCACAGATTTCTAGTGGCAATCCCCAAAAGCACGGTGATCGGATCATCGCCTCCGATGATGAGACAGAAGATGCAGAAGCACCCTTCATTCAGAAACTGTTTGGAATACTGAGAATATACTACACACTACTCGAATCTATCAAGCGTGTTTGCCTCGGAATCATGGCAGGTCTCTACATGGAGAATTGGTCTTCCAAAACTCCATCATTGACCCTATTGTGCATGACCTCTTTTCAGTTTTTCTTCCTTGTTCTCAAGAAGCCATTCATCAAGAAAAAGGTTCAACTGGTTGAGATAATTTCGCTTTCGTGCCAAGTAGGACTATTCGCCACATGTCTAACACTTTTGGAGAAGGACTTCTCATCTGGGGGTGGGGCTAAAGTTGGGATCTTCATGGTTACATTATTCCTAGTTGGATATTTGGCACATATGGTCAATGAGTGGTATGCTCTATATAGACAAACAATGCTTTTGGACCCTGCAGAGAAGTCTTTCATACAAGGCTTTAAGATAGCTTCAATTGGGTGTATACTCCTATTTATCCCACAGAAATGGACCAAAAAACTTGAGAGCAGATTCTCACAGCCTAGGCAGGGACAAACTCAGAGTGCTAACCAATCTTCTGAGGGGTACAAAAGCTCGAGTCAGAGCTCGGGGTCAACCGAAAAACCGTGGCTGAAACAGTTGAGAGAACTGGCAAAGGCTAGCTTTAGTAGAGAAGGAAGTGGAGGAGCTCCAAATGATCCTTCAAGCAGTAGAACTGGATTGAGCGGGATTTGGGGAACCAAAAGGAGCGGGAGCCCAAGTAAGAGCACCTCTTCTGATTCAAAGTCCAAGTCAAATCAAAAGGGGACATTGTACAAAGATTTAGAAGCTATTTTTTCATCCAAGTAGTGAAGAGCAAAGGCATAGACAGATTAGACAAGAACTACTTTTTGGAGACCTCAATGGAGAACTGAGAAATGGGAGATTGATTGATTGGAGAACTACTTTTTGGTTTGCATGCACAAAATTAAGGCTTATATATATAGATATATATATTTGAGTGAATATTGTATCTGTTATTTCAATGATAAATATCTTTAAGTGCATTGGATATAGTAGGCGGTGGAACATCTTCCCACCACACTACATCTTCTTTTAGTCTAAGACCATGCTTAGACTAAAATTTCTAAGGCTTCAAGATTTTCCAACAACGAGATTCACCATCTCGAATTAAAGCATCTAGAAGATTTTTATGATTATGTTCAATGCGATGCTTTACTTAGTTTACTGGTTAGAATTCATGTTTTATATTGTAAAAAGATGGTTCTATTTACACTATTTTTTACTCTTCACAGCCCCTTCTAACAACACACTCCACATATTTTTCAAATGGTTAAATCTTCTTTTTACACTTCTTACTGTTCCAAAACTACCACACCCACCATTTTATTTTAATTGTTTACTTTAAAATATCATTTCTCTGTCTATCTTTTTGTTTGTTTGTTGAAGGTTTAGGTATGAAGAATTTTTTTTCTTCTCTTAACATGTGCACAAGATGTGAGGAAGTTGATGATGCTTTGGTAGCACAAGGCTTAAATGCAGTTGCTCTTCGATCTTCATGGAGAAGGTATTGAAAGAGAGGTTGATGCTAATATTTTGGTAATGTCGTATGAATTGGAGAGTGGACTTTGGATGCTTCTTTTTTTTTTATACAAGGATGTACTAAATTATGAGTGCCGAGTCTCACTGGAGAAAGACTTAGCATATTAATAATCGAGTGTGACAAAAGTTCGTTTAACAAAACCATTACAGTCGATGAATAAAATCAATCGATTGAGACTAAAAGATCCAGAGCATTAGAGTTACCCACAATACTGCATAGGATCAAACTTAATGAGATAACCCTACCACCACCATAAAAGTAGGTCGACAACTTTCGCTATTATATGACATAAGCATAAAAATTGAAACGGCAGAATAACATCGCTTTTATTACATCAAAGTATAAATTAAAAATGAGACGAAATTCCTCAACCACACGTACAAAATTATTGACAATAAGATGACCACCAAGATCATAAAAAATAGATAGGCGAAGATCCACATGACTCCACCACGATATTGAGTGCTCATCCATGCACAATTCCATGATTATCGTGATGAGAAGAGCGATATCTTAAAATTATAGATGCCCTAGAGATCTGATATGTACAATATAGTTAGCTAAAAAACGACACCTCTTATCCCTCGCCTCCGTCTGCGAAGTTGTCACCACCACTATAATCATTGTCATGAGACCCAGAATCCTGTCTCTAGGGTCGGGGGGGTCCGACGACGGCTAAAGAGAAACTAAGGGAGAAAATGAAGATATGCCGAGATAACAATCCTAGTGAAATCAGGGACTCAATTATTAATTAAAAGGATAGAATTCCGATCCAGGTGATTGGAAGCTTTTTGTCTAGTGCCAGTCTGTATCCCTCTTAAAATAACAATCAACTTGAGTTTCCACGTGACTCTTTGCCTTGCCGTGACGTAAGTTCGGTGACATCTCGTTTTGGCGTCATATAAAATTTATTTTCCAAAATATTTTCCCTCTTGACCAACAACATTATTGGTAAAGTTCGGCTAATAGCAACACATCTCTCATGCCAACTTTGTATATAAATGTAATGTTAAGCTGAAGATAACACAGAGCCAAAACAAAGGAAGCTTATTTTCAATTGGTCAAGCCTTAAATTTTAGTGAGATTAAATCATACTAAAATTAGAGTGTAAATAAATTAAAATTTTATTTCTGTAAAAAATAATATCAAAATATTCATAAAATAATTAAAAAATGTGTCTTTATCAAAAAAACATCTAAAATTATAAACTCTCATTAAAATTGAATATCCTCAAATAACATGACACCCATACGAAAAATGTGCTCATAAAACACTTTGATGGTAATCTCTTAATAAGTAGATCCGTAACTATAAATGGCTTGTTCTTTTGAGTGAAAAACTTAAAAAAATGCAACTCGAGTTACAATTTTATTCGAGTTCATATTCTTTTAAGTTTAAACTCGAGTTCAAACTCGAGTTTATGACTAAAACTCGAGTTCAAGTTTTCCCTTCAACTTGAGTTCAGAAACTCAAACTCAAATTAATGAACAGTATTTTTTCTATTCTTAAAAATGCTATAACTTTTTCGTTTTAATTCTGATTGAGATGATTTTTTTTTATGCGTTGACAATGAAAAGACGAATAAAATCCGACCCATATACCCTATTAAAATTTCTCATCAGCATTGAGTTTTTATTTAAATACTATCTAAATACAAATTCAAGTTTTGACTCACGTAAATACAAACTCAAAAAGATTTTTCTTTCAAACCATAACTCAAATATACACAACTAAACACAAACTCAAGTTGCAAATTCAATTCAAGTTATAACTCAAATTCAACTCAATAATTATACTCAAGTTAAACTCCAAAAGAATAAGCTCAAAATTTATATCGATATGCTCTGTAAACAACTATCCACTTTAAACTCTTTTTTAAACAATTAATAATTTAATACTTATATACTTTAACTTCGGCGAGCTCCAATTATTGTTGAAATATAAAACTAGTAACTTATTATTACAAAATAATTTGAGTGGTGTTTTAAAACTCAGATGAAATGGGTAGAATTTATTAATTAAAAGGATAGAAATCCCATCCCCCATACAGGTGATTTGAAGCTTTTTGTCTTAGTGGCTAGTGCCAGTCTTTATCTCTCTTAAAGTGATACTTTACTTTTGGCGTCATATCAAATTTATTTTCCAAAATGTTTCCCTCTTGACCAACAACAGTATTGGTCAAGTTCGGCTATATCTCTCATGCCAACTTTCTGTATAAAGGTGATGTTAAGCTGAAGATAACAGAACACAGAGCCAAAACATAGGAAGAAGGAAAAAAAAAGGAAAAAAAAAAAGATCCGCAGCCATAAAATTTGTACCGATTTTCTCTATAGATAATTGTCTACTCTAAACTGTTTTTTTAACAACTAAAAATATGTCTATATGCTTGGACTTCATTGGAATATAGAACTATTGACTTATTGACATAAAATAATTTGAGTGGTCTTTTAAAACTCAAATGAAAGGGGTAGATTTTAAGTCCGTTTAGTTCGCTGATTCGAGTTGAAATGTGATTTTATGTAAGAGTTATACTGTAACAAAAAAATTAAATGTAAATGTTTCTAAAAACTTTTTACTATAATAAAATTTAAATTTTAAATTCGAATCGATAAAATGAATGATGTCTTTATTAATTAAAAGGATATAAATCCCATCCACGTGATTTGAAGCTTTTTGTCTTAGTGCCGGTCTTTATTCCTCTTAAAGTGATAATTTATTTTTGGTGTCATATGAAATTTATTTTCCAAAATATTTCCCTCTTGACCAACAACATTATTGGTCAAGTTCGGCTACATCTCTCATGCCAACTTTCTATATAAAGGTGATGTTAAGCTGAAGATAACAGAACACAGAGCCAAAACATAGGAAGAAGGAAAAAAATAGGGGGGGAAAAAAATGGTCCTCCAAGTTCTTATTCACATTCTTCTGTTACCATGCCTTGTACTCAATACAGCAGCATCAAAATTACCACCAGCTGCACCAGCTGCATCACTGATGGCGAAGAAAAGCTGTCTATCGAGCTGCGGAAACATCACCATTCCGTTTCCTTTCGGAATCGGAAAAGGGTGTTTCATCGACGAATGGTTTGAAGTTGTCTGCAAAAACAACGCTACTCTAGTGTTGAGTCGTGTCAATCTGACGGTGATCAGTATTGATATTCGCCCTCGATTTGGCTCACTTGAAGTGAAACTTCCGATGCTCACTTTTCTGAACTGCGACACCGAACAAAGAAGTCCCAGCTTAGGAGGAAGCCCTTTTGAGTTCGACAGTAACTGGAACAAATTCACTGCTGTGGGGCGTAGTGCGTTTGCAAGGATGAGCTCAGAATCAGACGACACAGGAACAATTCTTGCCGGGTGCTCGTTGCATTGCGGTAAGGGTACGAAGAGGGGCGGCGCCACACCTTATCAAGAGTAGATGCCCGCCCCACCCAAAATAATTGGCACGTCGTTTTCTCAATTTAAATCACAACGTTTAAAATTAATCTCGTTTTTTCGAGAAAGAAAAAATAAAAAACTTTTTTAAAATGTCATTTGACGCAATAAAAATAAAAAATAAATATAAATATAATTTTTTAATTTAGTATAAAATAAGATAGAAATGAAAAATAATTTTTAAATCTCGTTCTGATTTGAGTTTTTAATTTAAACTGAGATGTGATTTTATATGAGAACTTTTAATTGTAGTAAAAAAATTAGATGTGATTTTTTGTGAGAGTTTTTAACTGTAGTAAAATTGAAATTAAAAACTCAAATTGGTGAAATGAACGATTATCGTTTTTCATTTTTTTATTTTCGTTTTCTCCTCTCTCGAGTAGAGAGAGAGAAAGAGAGATATTAATAGGATTTTTTTACCCTGAAAATAATATCTTGATAAAATTACTAAACACATTTTTAAAAATAATTTCTGTTTGATATTGAAAACGTCTTTATTCTCTTTTACATATAAAAAATAAAATTATTTTGAAATGAGTTTCAAACGCGCACTAAATCTTTTACTACAATATTTTTTCTAATAAAAATTCAAATTAAAATTTTTTATTATATTATTTTCTCTCATATAAAATTCACTTCTCAACTCAAATCGTGAAAAGAACATGCCTTTATTTCTTTCAATTTTTGCATGTATATTTTGTTAAAAATTTACAATTTATTCCCTCTTAAAAGTCATAAACTATATAATCCACCCTTTATCAAAGTCTAAAATTATGTGTTTGTCCTACTTATTTATTTTCTGGCTCCGCCTCTAGGTACTAATAGCGGTGGAGTTAACAGTGTGGATCATTGCCAGGCGTCAATCCCCTCGAAACTGCAATTCTTCAAGGCCAGTTTTACTTCCGAAAGAACCACAGAAACATGCTACGCTTTCCTTGTGAACGACATTTGGTTCTCACGAAGTGTCAAAAACATTTCCGCTTTGAATAAGATGTCTGAATTCCCCGTAGTGCTAAATTGGATATTGTTGTACGCTGACAAAATTTGTGCATTGGGAAAATCCGACGACTCCTTTCTTTCCAACAACGACTACTCAGCAAAATATCCGTTAAAACAACACAGAAGTGACCGTTGCTACAGGTACCCCAATTTCGGCACTCCTTCTTCACCCGTCAATCAGTCTCAGTTTGTACATTGTATTTGTGAGAAAGGCTTTGAAGGAAATCCTTATCTTGTCGACGGTTGTAAAGGTAAAGCAAGCACATCTACCAACCTGATCTTCAAACATTTGCATCATATATATTCACCGTTTGAGAAACTGCCAACCAAACTAAAATTAATTTTTTCTTTTTGGCGATTTGGACTGTTTAATATTTTTGACAAAAATCACATTAATTTAAACAACTCATAAGTGGTTTGAACAGTTTGAGTTTAAGAATAAGAAAGTTTTAATAATTCACAAAAATTATAAAATCGTTAATCCATAAAAATAAAGATAAGGTTCAAGTTTACAATATAATTTAAAATAATAAATGTATAAAAGTTCAACACTAGAAAAAAAATGTGATATGGTTTATTTTATAAATTAGAACATCTATAAAGACCAACAAAAACTAAAATAAGTGAAAAAATATATTTGATTTGGATATGGTTCAACACTGCTAATCGATTTGATTTGGATTAGCAATTTAGGCGGTTTGAAGGATTTTTTGAACACCTTAGGTGGACTTATTGAGTGTAATCACATATCCAAAAGATGGATTTCAGATTTCACAAACTTATTGCAATATATTTTATCCTTTTGTTTTTGCTTCACATGATGGACTTAATTTGAGGGTTTTTTTTTTTCTTGGCTCAAACTTTTTTTTTTTTTTGGATGATTAGTGCATAAACTTAAAATATTTTTAGGAGGTTTATTTACTGAAAATAAAAGTAACATGAATTGATGTTTGAAATTTAATAGAGGCAGTATTGTGCTGACAGAGTAAAAACTTAAAATTTCAAGTTACTAGGGCCCTTTTTTTAAAATGTGAAATTAGTTTTGAAAACATGTTTTGTAACCTTGTTTTTGTGTTTTTTGAATTCTTATCATTTTTTTTTTTTTAAATTGTGCAAATAAAATTTTCTCGTTTTCAAAATTTTTTGGACAAAAATTTTAGGTTGTGGACACTACTAAGGCTGAGGTTGTTAATGGGCTGGGACTAATATTGGGGTTGAATCGACTTGAATTGTTCGTTGGTCAATGACTTTCGATTTTGATCAGTTCAGTCACCATCTAACACCTTTAGTTTTGCAATTTTTAGAAACCGAGTATTGAACGAAGGGGTAGTGAGACTATGCTATCGATGACCGATTTTCTCGGTCAGTGCTCGGTAAGCCACATTCCATGACTTCTGTAAGTTTGAAAATGACGATGAAGCTCAAAAGGACTGGAATGGCGATACCATGGCGGTGAGGATGGTGTGAAGAAGATGATGAAGAAGAAGAATAATGTTTGTGGATTTGGATTTTTTTTAGTTAAGTGTGTTGGCTCGGTTCAAATTCACTTAGGCTTGGGCCTAATTGAGTGTACGTGGCTCGGTGCACATACGTATTTACTCAAACCATAATTTTTAATTTTGATATTTAAATTTAAAATTTTTTATAAAAGAAATATATTATAATAAAATTAATAATTTAAACTTGAATATATAAAATAAACCGACGTAAAGTTTTTGATTCATCGACCGATTCTCCTATTTTCACTACGATCCTTTTTTAGCTTAGTTTATTAAGCTAACCGATTACTAATAGTTTTTTTAAAGTAAACAAACTTTCTCGCCACATTTCAGATATTGATGAATGCGTTCCTAGAGCTCGAGGTTCAAACGTGTGTCCAGGCAACAGCCGCTGTGAAAACAGAAATGGGAGCTACGTATGCAACCATAAAGGGAAGAAGGCCCAAGGGGTCCTTGTAGGTATGTATGCGTTACCTGTGCCTTTTGACGCTCTGATTAAAATCAATTCCGACTGTTACTGCAAATAATATATATATAGATATATATATATATGAGTTTATATATAAATGTAGTTTTAATAGTTATTTTAATATTTATCTATCAATAAATATCATTATTTTAGCCGTAAGATATTAATCTGACGGCCATAATAAATTATATAGTTGACCAAAAAAATTTATGACAATTAATGAAACTAAATTTTTATCACGCTACACATGTAGTGTTAACTACCAATGGAAATGTAACAATTAAAAACTCATCTGCTTTATATATATATATATATATATAGGTGTGGTTTTGATGATTACTCAATATTGACCCATTAATAGGTATTGTTATTTTAACCATAAGATATTAATTCGGGAGTTGTAATAAATTAGATAGTTAATCAAAAAAATAATGACAATTAATGAAATTAAATTTTTATCACTGTCACATAATCAATTTTTTATATTTAATAATAACTACCGATAAAAATGTAACAATTAAACACAAGTTTATATATATATATATATATATCTATCTGTGTGGCAAACGCCTTGGTGAATTATTATCATGAAAATTGTATCAATTGTCAAACTTGTAAAATGGAAGTTGTGATCTCTTGCCGATTTGTTTTTCAACTTGTTCCTCTAGCGCTCACAACTATTAATCTCTAGCTTATATATTTATTTATTTTTTGCTATAGCCCTTGTTGAAGAACTCTTCAATCTAGTTTTATTTGGTGAATCTTTATGCTTTTGCCCCCCACGATTTCTGTTAAAATTTTTCAAACAATTTTGTTACTAGCTTGCAACTTCTCCCCCATGAAATTTTCAAATTACAAACATCTTTGACATAGAATCTTGGAAAATTTTCAATTAACCCCAAACTTTTGCTTTTGAATATGATCATATTTCTAACTTAACACCACAAATAATCTAAAAATCAACTATATTACAAAGTAAATTTATAATTTTTAGGATTCTAAATTTCAAAAGGTGAATTAAACTTTATTTCAAGCTTAGTGTATTTGGAAGAAAAAAAAAAGAAAAGAAAAAGATATAAATAGATTAACAAAAGTAAAATAATAATAAAAAAAAACATGAGACCACATTTAAGAAAATATAGCTGCATTAAAAGTGTAATTTAAATGTTTGGTTTTCTTCATGCCCCTCTGAAAAACATTTTTGATTCCACCACTAATTATAGTGACACCTTTTTTATAACAATTTTCTAAAATAAGAGTTCTTTTAGGCTATTTTTGATAGTTAAAGCAAAAATGGATGGAAAGAAATGAGTAGGAGAGTTAAGGGTAGGTTTAGTTAAGAAGAAGAGAAGAAGAGAAGAAGAAGATGCTTATAACTAATATAGTCCCTACCATGGAAGCTTCCTCCTCTTCATCCTAGGAGAAGAGTACATGATATCAAAAGTTTTATATCTTTTTTTTAAAATTTAATTATTAAAAAAGAGGGGAAAATGGGGGGTTTTGTGGTGACCATGCTTATCTGAAATAGTAATGCCAATCAATGGAGCTTGACCCTCTTGGTTCGTGACCAAAAAATGCAGGTATAACACCCGCCCCATTAGGGATAGCCTCAATAAATTGGTTATGTTCCTCCACATAATTTCTATTTTCTTTCACTGCTATGTCAAACATAGTAGTCACTTTTCTCCTTCCCTCTTAAGTCCAAAACTTGTTTTATATATATAAATATATATATATATATATATTCATCGGGTATATATGTGAATGTATGTGTACATGAAGTGAGGTGTGTGCGTGAACGAAAATTGTGATGCTAAGTAAATAATTGATATATATATATATATATATATATATATATATATATATATATAAAGAGTCTATATATGCGCTTCTCAAAATTTGATGCCAAGGTATGGAAGGACCGTTTTAAAGTTTCGGGGGTGCATAGGCTTCTTTCCCAGGTTCATGGAAAATATAATTTAAAAAAAAAAAGAAGTAATTCAAGGTAGGGGAGAATTTATAAAATTTGTTGGAGACTTTGTGCAAATAATACAACGTGTTCCCGAACCCTTTTGTGAACAATCTCTAACCTAGTTTTATGCAGGCCTTGGCAGTGCGGTTGGAGCAATGTCATTGCTTCTTGGATCATCGGGATTATACAAAGTTATCAAAAAAAGAATAAACTTCCAACGCGGGGAAAGGTTCTTCAAACGAAATGGCGGTGATCTATTGCTACAACAATTATCTTTGAGTGAAGACAATGTTGAGAACACGGTTGAAGTTAATGTTGAGGACACGAGTGAAGTGAAAGTTGAGGACACGAGAGAAGTGAGAGTTGAGGACACGAGTGAAGTGAGAGTTCAGAAGACGAAGCTGTTCGATTCAGAGGAGTTAGAGAAAGCAACTGACCGTTTTAATAAAGACAGAGTTGTTGGCCAAGGAGGACGAGGCACAGTTTACAAGGGAATGTTGTCGGATGGGAGAACCGCTGCGATAAAAAAATCGAAAATCGGGAACAAGAAAGAATTCATTGACGAGGTTGTTAAACTTTCTAAAGTTAACCACAGAAATGTGGTTAAACTATTAGGTTGTTGCTTGAAAACACAAGTGCCTCTTCTTGTCTACGAAGACGTGCCTAATGGAACACTATCTCAGTACATTTGTGACGAGCAAGAGGGGGAGCTTTCGCTTACATGGCAAATACGTTTGCGAATCGCGACAGAAGTAGCGGGAGCTCTTTCCTACTTGCACTCGTTGGCTTCACCGATTTACCACAAAGACATCACTTCTAGAAATATACTTCTAGATGGCAAGTACAGACCAAAAGTTGGGGATTTCGGAATTTCAAGATCAGTCGCCATTGACCAGACGCATTTGACCACTGCGGACACATTTGTTTACTTGGATCCAGACTACTTTCGATCAAGAAAATTTACGGACAAGAGCGACGTGTATAGCTTTGGGGTTGTCCTTGTTGAGCTCTTGACGGGGCAAAAACCGATTTCCATCGAGAGGCCGGAAGAAACTGGAAGTCTAGCGGAGTATTTCATGCTGTCCATCGAGGAGGGTAACCTGCTTGATATTGTTGATGCTAGGGTGAAGGAGGAGGGAAAAGAAGAAGCAATAACAGCATTTGCTCTACTCGCCAAAAGATGCTTGAAATTCAGTAGAAGGAAAAGACCAACAATGAAAGAAGTCGCAACTTCGTTGGGAGATATTCAAAAGTTAGAAGGGGATTCTGGTGTTCGTCAAGAAGAAAATCTTGAGGAAAAGTTAGAAGAGGATTCTGGTGTTCATCAAGAAGAAAATCTTGAGGAAAAGTTAGAAGAGGATTCTGGTGTTCATGATGAAGAAAATCTCGAGTAGGATGAATGTGCGAGAGAGGTCTGCTGATCAGCCTGGGGATTCATTTGGTATCTCAATACCACAGTGATACATTCGTCACCAAATAAATCTCAAGACTCTTTACGTAGTAGTACAAGCAGGTAAGGTTCTTTGTTGTGTGCCCGTATTAGTGTCGTCGCCGTCGTCGTAGTCGTTGTTGTTGTGTGTAAGTTTGTATGGACCAATCTAAATAATTATGTTGTTCAGCCGTATTATTTGTTACTCTCTTAAATGTTACAATTTGTCTGAGAGAATCCGTGGCTTGTTGAATGTATTGATTAGTATTGTATTTGAGCATTTCTATTTGTCCTGGACATCAGCTTGTCACGAGCTTTAAAACATTTCTTTCTCGACTTTTTTTAGGCATGTTTTATCCTCATGATCACCAAACCTCATAATTCTACTCTTTAAAAAATTATACTCTTAGTTTGACCATATATTAAAAGTCTAAAATACCCCTATCAGATATTCAAACCCTAACCTAATGAATACAATCCCGTAAAAATTTCCCCTCTCTCTAACCTCTATTGCCGCCGCCCCTCTCTCTGTCTCTCTATATCTCATTCTCTCTCTCTTTCTCTAACGTCACACGACACAACAATAATTCATAATACGAAATTAAACTTAAAATGGGCGCAAAAGATTATATATATGTTTAATTTTTTACATATTAAAAATAATTTAAAATTTATAATACATTAAAATATAATAATATTTATTAACATTAAATAAATAATAATATAAAATTTTAAATATATTATAAGATGATAATAAAATTTAAAATAAATAATAAAATATATATTTTAATTTTTTATAAATTTTATATCGTGTTTAAATTAAACGGATTTAATTTAAAATTAATATGTATTTTTTATAATAATTTTAGATCATTTAATTCTGATTCCGAATCTTTTTTTTTCGACTCTAATTTACGAAATTTGTGTAGTGTTTAAACTGTGTTGTCGTGTCGTGATCGCCGACCTAATCAATCTCTCTCTCCATTCGATCTGCTCTCTCCCTCTCTTCGATCGGACCGGCGACCAGAGCTTGCCGGAGCCCACGCCACTTGAGGCGTCTGCCCCTCTCATCTCTCTTCTCCTTCGTCGCGTCTGTAGCCCGCAAATCTTCCGCACACCGATCCACGCGATCGATCGTTAAGGCGGTTAACCCTAACAAGGTGGGGATCAAGTACGGCGAGTCCAGGTTTACTATCATGTACCGAGGGATTCCGTTGGGGAAAGCTTCGGTGCCGGAGTTTTATCAGGAGGCCCACAGTGTGAGGCAGGTTGTGGCCACGATCGCCGTCAATCGGGTCAATCTTCTACAAGCGGACGCTGCTGATTTGATCAGAGATGCTTCGCTCAACGATAGAGTCGAGCTTAGGGTTCTCGGAGACGTTGGCGCCAAGATCCGCGTCTTGAACTTCGATTCCCCTGGGGTTCATGTCAGCATTGCTCTTCTCTTCCTGATTTTTCTGTGGAAATTTGAGCTTTATTGTGTTGTTTGGTTGCCGAGAAAATCCTTCCTTTCTCTCGTCTGGAATAACAGTACTGGATTGCCTCAGTACCTGCGAAACAACCCCCACTAGCTTCTGTCCTTGTCTGCTTTTTTTTTTTTTAATTTTTTTATTTATTTTTGCTCTGCTAATTTTGCGCGGTGGATTAGATTAGACACACACTCAAGTCACAGTTGACGTTGCGTGTCTCAGAGAAGCACATTCCATACCATTAGTATTTGCATTAGTGCCCTTGTATTTCTCTATATTTACACTGGCACACATTGTGAATTTTTGCATTCTTCTGTTTTTTTTTTTTTTTTTTAATAATAGAGTTTGCATCTTCTGTTTTTATTATGGCAATTTATTAAATAGTTAATAATCATTGTGAAGAGTTTGCTATCATGATACGTCGAGTGTCAATCTGTGAGTTAATGTGTTTTTGGTTGTTACTAGCTGTTATTTTGGATTTGCACTTGTTTTGCCTTTATAATGATTATTGCATCAGTTCTTAGTTTCTTCGTTTCTGTATCTATCAACACTTAGGGACGTTTGGTTGGAGGATTCAAACCATGTAATTTGAATCATTTTTGATTTACGTAAATTTTTTATGAAAAAAAATACTGTAGCGAACCATGAATCATGATTTAAATCAAGGAACAAATCCCTCTACCAAACGGACCCTTAAAAGATATTGATATTGCAATCTTATAATAATAAATATGATTAGATTAATGGTCTGAAATTCTGGCCTTGCATGGCGAGCCACAGAGTTGGAGAGACTGGTTTGTCAGATTCAGGACCATCATTTTTCTTTTTTACTGAGATCTTTTCCAGGATGTAATGGCTACTTTTGGCATAGAATATCTTGCGATTGAAAATGAAAAAATGTTGCATAGCAGTTATAGAGGCTGACTAATACTGGATAATGCACCAAAAAAATTTTTTTTTGAAAGAATTTGATTTGTTTCTGAAGTTTCAATTAGCTGCAACTAGGCTGATCTGGCTGTTGATCTGACAATCTTGAAGTGCTTTGGAATTTGGACGGGTGAGGATTGATCTCTAACAACTGGTTTTTGTGTCTCAAAAAGCTTGATAAGCATTTTTTTTTTTTTATGTTTGATTACAACTTTAGTACATGTAAGTTTGACCAACTTGACGTTTTGGTCTATGAAACAAGTTGGCGAGGTTTGTCTTACTTGAATTTGCCAACTATTCAAAGCACAAGACGAGAATAACTTTGTGGGAGGATACTTTCAAGTATAGCATCATGCATTCATTGATGGGGATTTTCACACATGAACAGATGGACTTTAGTTAGTGGATATTTTTGCATGAGAATTAGATTAAAGACTTGCGAATGGATTTTCGTTTGTTTCGTTTGTTTTTCATTTTGATCACACACTTGTGTCTGGTGTTGTGTTTGTTGTTGTTTTTTTTTTTTTTTAATAGTGTGTTGGGATTTGTAATGTCAATGATGTTTCTCAACACTTGCAGGTTTCTCTTGTAGAAGTAAAAGCTATATTGCTCATTCAAGTCGTGTACTATGAGCTCTGACGTTCCCTTGCTAATCTTCATCATTTGCCATTTGGTGTTTTTGTTATTATAATGTGATATTTTTCATTTTGTGTATTTTTTCTATGTAAATTTGGTAATTTGTTGTTAATGTGAATTTTAATTTACCAGATTATAAATCATAGTTTAGTTATAGTCTGACATATTATAGATTATAGTCTGACAGACTATGGTTAGTTGGCATAACCTATAGACTACAGGTCATAATGTGTCAGATTATGATTGGCGGCCATCATAACTTGTCAGACTATGGGACATAGTCGGACATATTATGACCAGCGGCCAACGTATCTTATGAGACTATGGATCATAGTCAGACGACCAGTATAACTTGTGAGACTATGGATCATAGTCTAACAGATGAAGGTAATAGTTTGACAGAATATAGGTCATAGCCTGACAGACTATGACCGACAGTAGATTGAAGACTTGCCAGTTGGCGTAACTTGTCAGATTAAAAGTCATAGTCTGACAAACTATAGGTCATAGTCTGACAGAATATAGGTTCTAGTCTGACAAACTATGGGTCATAGTCTGGCAAAATATAGGCCATAGTCTGACAAATTATGGGTCATAGTCTGATAGACTATGGAGCATAGTCTGAGTGACTATAGAGCATGATCATCTTAGTCCGTCAGACTATGGCCACCATGGTCATCTTAGTTTGTTAGAGTATGACCGCCAGAGACCTCGTCTGACGGTCGCCGGAGACACGCCATAAGGCCTATGCCGATCACCGAAGACAAGGACGCCGAAGACACGTTAGACGGCCGTCGATCACCGGAGACACGCCAAACGGCCACTAGAGATTTGTTGTCGGTCACTAGAGACCCGCCGTCGGCAATCGGAGACGACCAACATCTTGTAAATAACTTTAAGGGTATTTTAGTATTTTATATATTGGGTCTTTTATTAGGCTTAGTCTAAAAGGGTAGAAATAAAAGGGTTAGTGTTTGGGGTTAATAATTGTTTGGTAATCTATTTTGAGAAAAAATTGTAAAAATCTCTTTTTTAAGAAAAAACTTGGGTCTACAAACACCTGTTTTATATATATATATATATATATATATATATATATATGGGGGAAGGAGGGAAATAAGTCAAGATTTAAGGAATTAAAATTAAAGAAAATGTAGGAAATAAGCATACATTTAAAATTTATGAAAGTAAATGGCCAATTTACCAATTTATAGAAATTATAGACCATTTTGTATTTTTAATTTTTAGTTTTTTAATTTTACGTGTTTTTGCTATTTTTTTCCTTTTCTTTGGTAAATACATGTATATTCATGATTTATCAAAAGAACAATACAAATTATAATGGTAAATTTCATATATACATGGTAATTTTATGATTTACCAAGTTCATATTATTAGGGAAAAATGTATAAATTCTAATGGTAAATATTGGATATACCTAATAAATTTTAGATTTTATCAAGTTCGTATTAGTAGGAAAAAAAACATTACAAATTCTAATGATAAATCACGAATATACCTGGTAAATTTAGAATTTACCAAGTTTGTATTAATACAAAAAAAGTGAAAACCCAATGGTAAATCTCGTATATACTTGGTACATTATAATGATAAATCTTGAATATACATGATAAATCTTGGTATTTTCAGGATTTACTAAGTTTGCATGTACAAACTCTAATAGTAAATCATGGATATACATAATAAATTCAAGATTTACAAAGTTAGCATCACTTTCTTAAGAATCATACAAAATTTAATGGTTATCCTTGATATACATGGTAAATCTAAGATTTACCAAATTAGTATGTGCAAACTCTAATGGTAAATCCTGAATATACTTTGTAAACTTAGGATTTACTAAGTTAACATAACTTTTTCAAAAACCTTCAAATTCTAATGACAAATCCTGGATATACATATACCTAGATTTACCAAATTAGAATTACTTGAAAAATAATAATACAAATTCTAATGGTAAATCTTAGATATACTTGGTAAATTTAGTTATATTCAGGATTTACCAAGTTAGTATTTACAAACTCTAATCGTAAAAATTAGCATGTACAAAATCTAATGGTAAATTTTGAATATACATGGTAAATCTAAGATTTACTAAGTTAGCATCACTTTTTTAAAACCTGTACAAATTATAATGGTAAATCTTGAATATACATAGTAAATTCGGGAATATTCAGAATTTACCAAATTAACATGTACAAACTCTAATGGTAAATCTTAGATATACACAGTAAATCTGAGTATATTTAGAATTTACCAAATTAACATATACAAACTCTAATGATAAATCTTAGATAAATTTACTAAGTTACCATCACTTTTTTTAAGAACCGTACAAATTTTAATAGTAAATTCTGAATATACACGGAGAGAGAATAAAGAATAGAAGATCAAGAACAAAAGAGAAAAACTAACAAGAAAAGGGTAAAATTAAAAAATGAAAAATTTAAAATTCGAAATGGCCTATTGATTTCAATACATTAGTAAATTGGCTATTTCTTCCATAAGTATTTCGTACAGTTTTCCCATATATATAAACAGGCCTTAGCTAATTTCGGTCCGTCATCCACGTGGCAAGCTAGGAAGGAAGCGTGAGGTTTCATCCTGTTTTGGCCGGCTTTTAATAGACCGGCAATGGACTGTAATAGGTGCACCTCTGGTGTGCTTTGAGGTCATAAGACATTAGTTTTTTTTTTTTTTTTTTTTTTTTTTAACTTGTTCCATTTGAAATTGTGAAGAAAAAAATACCCCAAATTTAAAATATCATAACTTTTTTTTTAAAACTTCAATTGAGATAAATTGTTCTTCCTACGCATTCAAATAAAAAATCAAGATCTATATAGCCTAGATAATTTTTGCATGAACATTGTTGACGGTGATTTCTCGTCAACAAAAACAGGCCGGGTTATCTCCGGATTTCCCGTTAGATTACCGGCCTTAGCTTTGAATGTGTGTGAGAATTTGTTGGAGGGATGTATTGTGCGTAAATAAAAGATATGCACAAATAACGAACACAAGGGATTTTATAGTGGTTCACTCTATAAAATTAGAGCTACATCCACTGTGGTTGTATATTTCTTTTGAGATGATTACAATTTACATCAATTGTTCTTTCCTTCTCTTGGATCTTCACCGTTTTCCTGTATGGGGTCTTGCCCTTTTTATATTGGGAGCTTCCTTCGCTGGGTTGATTTCCTTTGTAGATAGAAGTACTCAAGTGTTCTCCCTTTTTAGGCCCATTCGTAGCCCACTAATCACTTGGAGTACTGTTCACTCAGTCAATTAGTCTTCTATTACGGCTCTGTACGTTCCTGTAACCCTTTTCTGTTCCCTGTGGGGCGGTTTAAGGGTCCGCAATGAATGCCTGCCTTGCAGTCATCCCCCACTTTTGTACGTAATTTGCCACGTCAGACCTTTCCCCAAAGAGCATTCCCCTCGTCGCCAGTGTTGCTTAACCCAACTGTCCTTCTTGGCTGTTGGTTCCACCGTCGAGGGATTTCTATGTCCTAAGGTCGACGGTACGGACTGTCGACGCCAGGAGGAATCGACGCCCTAAGTTAGACTTTTCACTTAGGTTCTTTATAACGGAATCGGAGGGAGCCCCAGGCGTCGAGGGTTGTTGCTTTGCGGGGAGTAGTTAAGGCTACGTGTCATATTATTATTCTTCCACGTGTCCTTCACATTTTTCTACACAACAAACATCAAGTTTCTATAAGATTTGTTAGAAAACATTAATTTTTTAAATGATTATATTCAACACTCTATATTCAAACACGTATTCAGATTCGCCCTTCGAATTATAAATTCTCTGCATATCCAAATGATGCTTCGGACTATAGTTCAAATTACCTCAGTTCAAACAGTTTTTTAATCTAACCATCATCAAGACCGTACGCGGCATATTGTTTTTCAAAAATAAGCGTTCAGACCAAATACATAATTACGCATGTTTGAGCAATTTTACGCATCAAGTATATAATAGACCATACGCGATGTACTGCTCTTTACAAAATATCATTTTGTTATGAATTTGAAGTATAATTTATTTGTGTATTAAAATGATGGTCCGAACGCACGCCAATTCAAATAGTTGTTTTCTCTAGTAATTATTAAACCCTACATGACTTATGATAATCATCATATGCAACATATTGATATGCCATAAAAAGTTTTGTTTTTCAATTAGTTTACTATTATTGAATCCATTAAAAAAAATCAAACTTCAAAATTTTTTAACTTTTTTATTCCAATATTGATTAAGATGACTCTTTTTATTATGCATTCAGAGCGAAAATAGAAAAAAAAATCTCTCTCTATAAAGCCCATGAAAACCTACCATAACATGGATGCATTGTAAGATTTTTTAGAACATACCAAAGTTATTTTAAAGCTTAATGGTTTTCTAATAAATCTAACAAAACCTTAATGTCCATGATAGATTTTAGTAAGGAATATAGATATATTTACTTGTCTTTGTGCTTTGAATACATTGAAAGAAGAATCGTCTCAATTAGAGATGAAAAAAGGCTATAATATATTGAATCCTTGAGTTTTCATAAAGTAGAAGAGAGAGAAAAATATATTTTTTTAAAGTTGAAACGATTTGAATAGTTGAAATTTAGAAGGATGCAAATTTAAAATTAAGAAATTTAACTCCGTTTGAGTTGAGCTTCAAATCCGAATTTAGGCATCGTTCATTTTACTGATTTGAGTTTTCAGTTTTAGGTTTTTACAGTAAAAATCTCTCAGAAAATGTCACATCTAACTTTTTTTTGCTATAGTAAAAAGCTCTCAAAAAATGTCACATCTCAACTCGAATTGAAAACTCGAATCTGTGAAGTGAACGAGACATTAATGTCTTACTATACACTCATTTGGTTGTGGGCTTAATTCAGACTATACAAATTAATCTGAATTCTCAACACAAACAGGAGGATTGAAAATTCCGTTACAGTTTTTCAACGTAAAAAACTCTATAAATTTGTGTGGTTCATTGATTCTAACTATGGCGATTTAGATCATTTTGTTTTAAAATGTGAAATCTGAAAATTAGTATGGTTTATATAAGTTCGGACATGTAGTTAAAATTATAAATTTAAAAAGTGAATAAAATCTAAATATGTTTTTTGATGTGTTAAAAATATAAATTTGATAGAGAATATGTTTGAAAAGAGAAAACCTGAAATGAGAAATAATTTACACTGTAGAAAATGGTTTTGATTTTATGAATTTAAGTAATGGTTTTCAAATTGAAATTCTAGCTTCATTTGGTTAATATATGTGAATTCTTACCGTTTAAATGATTTGATATGAACAAACATTAATGAAAATGATTAGAACTGCAATCGGAACAGTCATTTGGATATGTAGATTGATTTGTTAGGAATGTTATATTCATAATAAAATGAGAATCTATGTTTAGATAGAGCGTTTTAAAATAATTATTTAAAAATTTAGTGGTAGCACATAAATCTTAAAAAAATTTGATTTTCATGCTAGAATTTACATAAGCTATATGGATGTTGGTTCATTTTTTCGCTCCAAACACATAGGTAGAAGAATTAGGGCAATCGCAATTGAAACAAAGAAGTTATAATATCTTAAAGCATGAGTTTTTATAAAGGTAAAAGGAAAAGAAAACACAAACATCAAACAAATATGTGTTACTAGGTAAAAAACTAAGCATTACAGTCATTCGACTAGATGTTACAACCAATTTTATAACCTATTTCTACATAATATAAAAAAAATACATATGGAATTCGCTATTCAACTTTTCATCGTCTATTCCGCACCATTTTAGGCCACAATAAAAGTTTTTTTTCGAGTATTTTGTACACTTGCCCCTAAACTTAATGAGTTTTAGCAGTTTACTTTATAAACTTCTAATTTTGATAATTTACTCCTTCAACTTACAAAATATTACAATGTATCTTATGTTACCAATTTTGTTTTATTTTTGTTAAATTTAAGGGATTGAGAGTTAATAAATTGTTTCTTTTTTTGGGTGAAATTGAGAGCTTTCTGTTATAATTTGAATTAGAATGTTGAAATTTTCATTGAAAGTGTTTTTTCGCATCCAATTTAACACAATCATTGTTAAAATGAGATTTGTTCTAACAATTTTTCAAATTGTGGAGATCATTTGTAAAATTATATGTTCAAGGGTAAATTGCTAAAGTCCTGTAAGTTTAGGAGTAAATGTGTAAAATACTTTTTTTTTTTTTTTTGATAATTAGAGAATCTGGCACCCAGGTTTTCATAACATTGCGTTTGATTCCTTGTCTGGTGCCTGTGCCACCAAGCAGTGCTCCATTTCCTACACCTGTGTTTGTCTCTCTCTCTCTTCCGGAGAAGCACCCAATAAGGTCCTTGCAGCACCTGGCCTAATCTCTCTCTCCCCTCTCTCTCTTCCGGAGAAGCACCCAATAAGGTCCTTGCAGCACCTGGTCTAATCTCTCTCTCTCCTCTTTCTCTTTCTCTCTCTAAGCCCAAATAAGTATTATATTATTATATAAAAAAAAAAAGAAAAATGGGATCGGTGCTGGGCATAAACAGAAAGAGCAAGGAAGAGCTTAAAATGGCGCTCAACAAGGTCAAGCAGATTGTCTCCTCTCACCCCGTCGTTGTCTTCAGGTCTCTCTCCCTTTCTGTCTTTCCAGTATTAACCACAAAGCTTCCTTTTTTATTATTCATTGTTTATTTTCCGAACATTCAATTTTACTTCAGTTTGTAAGAGACTAACACTAACCCAGATCATCAAATACTATATTCCGCTAAATCCTTGAAGCAGGAATAAAAAAAAAGTCCTCAACTTTGCCTTTTAAATCGGTCTTGCTTTCGTTTTTAATTGCCACATTTGTTTTTTTAGTTCTGACCTTACTGGTGATTTTGGTTTTTTTTTTTTTTTTTTTTTGGTTTGTTTTAATTATGAATTACTGGCAGTAAAACTTATTGTGGGTACTGTACGAGGGTGAAGAATTTATTGACACAACTTGGAGCGGCTTTCAAAGTCATTGAACTGGACGAGGAAAGTATGTGCTCTTATCTTAGCTATGTTGTTTTTTTGTCGTTTCCTGTCTCTTATCAGACTGTTTTGTCTTCCTAATTTCCTTCCGTCTGCAAAACCAAAAATAAAATAAAATAAAATAACTTTGATGTGACTTATCGGTGCTTGGAAGAGGTTTTCAAGTCTAACACCTCGCTCATCAATTTTAATTTCACTGCAATTAAAAATTTAAAAATTATATCTAATTTTTTTTATTATAATAAAAAAATTTTACATAAAATTATATTTTAATTTAAATTTAAAATTCGAATCAAGCCTAAAACTTTAGGCCAGTAAGCTTTTTAATAGAACTTGAGAATTTTTTCTCGTGTCTATCGAGTCATTTGATTGTATGTATGTATAATGGTATATAATTTCCACTGTTTTATGACCTCCTTTGAGCAACCAACAATGTATAAGCAAATGTTTGTCTATTGGCGAAGGTGATGGAGGTGACATGCAAGCAGCTCTAGCAGAGTGGACTGGCCGAAGGACTGTCCCCAATGTCTTCATAGCAGGAAAAAACATTGGTGGCTGCGATTGTAAGCCCATTACTTTCATTTAGCCTAGTTCAGTTTATAAATTCAAGTTGGGATGGATATGATTTTTTATATGAGTTTTTAGCTGTAATAAAACTGAAATTAAAAACTCGAATCGGTGAAATGAATGAGGCCTTATTCTTTTACGTAGGGGTGTAATTCGGCCGGGTAGGCTCGGGTTGGGCCGAGCTGCACACGGTAGGTTGAGGAAACTTTGAGCCGCAGTACCCTCCTAGGCCTACAAACCTGTAACCTTTTGGGTAACCTCAGGTAGGCTCAGGTTACTCGAGTTAGTCGGGTGACAGACAAATAAACATCAACCAAAAAGACAACCCACTTAGTAATGAATAACGTCAACAAAACAAAGATACCTGAGAGGAGCAATTCAAGCTTATTTGAGATTAAATACGTAATTTGGATCCAGTAAAACCCAAAAGGGGAAAACTAAAGGGGAAAAAAATGAAGAATCAAGCATGTACAGAGAAACCTAAGTGCAGAAAATCAGATTCGGAGACTAAAAACTAAAAGCAATAAATTGATGTGCAAAAAGGGAAAAGCATAAATAAGGAAGGAATTTCCAGCGAAACTTTTGGGGATGGATTTTAGGACAAGAAGTTTTGACCTCGAATTGAGAAGAGAAAGGAGTAGTGGTGGAATGGCTCTTCACTGGAGTGTCCATGGCCGAATACAAAGCTCTAATTCAGTACTCTTGCACCACTTCATCCACATTCTCTCTCTTCGTTCTCTCTCTCTCTTTCTCACACTTTCTCACTGCTCTGACTCTTTTTTCCTTTTTTGTTTTAACACTTAGTGTGTTTTTCGGCCAGGTAGGGTTACACGGGGTAAATGGAGCCTGGCCCGCGACCTTACCCGCCCATTGCAGGTTGGGTCAATTTTAAACCGAAAAAAAAAAAAAAAAAACAAACAAACAAACAAACTATAATTTCGGGTAGGGTTGGGTAGGCCGGGTTAATCGGGTTTGGGGTGATTTCTTACCCCCCTACTTTTACGTTTAGTCATCTTTCTACTCCTTTGCTTTGTTAATTCGAATCGTGTGGTTTTGAATTTTTAGGTTTGAACCAAAAGTTCTGAACCTGTTTAGGTTTTTTCTGGTTCAAGCTAGTGTAAAGTTTAAACAAGAAATAAAACATCACATTAGAGAATAAAAGTTTGAAATAGTCTTTGGTTAGTGCGAAAATTACTTAGATATAGACCCATGGTTTTAAACCAGAAATACTATAAGCAAATAGGTTTAAACCCATAAAAAGTTAACGGGGTTAAGTTCTCCAAAACCCATAATTTTGGGCTCACACGGGTTCTCATCCAGGTCAAAACTTTTAACAACCAAACATGGATTGTAAACCGGATCACTATCTCTTCTCAGTGCAGTCCAATTTCAGCTGTTAAGTTTCTTTGTTTTGCTGTGGTTTATATTTTGCCGGTAAGTCTCTTTCTTTTGCTGGTTTGAACCTAAGTTAAAACCTTTATACATCTTTTCTCTTACAAAAGAGTTATAATTTGGGACTTTCTCTGATAATGTAAAATTAGACTACTCATAATCCCTTACTTTTTAACCGTCAGATCTGTATCAGAATCTATTTGTTTTACGTAGTCTTTTAATATAATCTGATTTTGATCAGATTTCAATAGTTAAAAATTGAGACTATTAGTAGAGCGGACTACCGAATAAACTCTCAATTTATAATTTTTGTTCAGACAAACGGGCACAATTGAAACTTTTCAATGAAAACTTAATCCTTTTTTTCCCAACTGTTGGGATTGTTTCTTTGCACCATTTTTTTTTTTTTTGGGCCACAGCTGGGATCGTTTCTTTCCATCGGCTGAATTTAAGCTTGACGCCTAACTTTTTGGGGATGCACCATAATTTTCATGCTTTCTTTTTGCACCATAATTGTTCTGCCAAATACTCATTTAAACCTTTTTTTTTTCTTTTTAAATCATTGCAGCGGTTTTGGAGTTGCACCAGTCTGGTCAGCTTTTGCCCCTTCTCACAAATGCTGGTGCCATTGCCAATGACTCTGCTCAGCTGTGAACCGCATAATATAAGCCACCAGAAACTAAAAGGGCAATATTATGTGTAGCTCTTGTGTTAAATCTGTATGATGATGGTTATAAAGGCACTGTGTACACGCTCTCTATCAGCAAAATAAATGTATAGATACTTGTAATGTTGTGTGTTTGAATGATATGAAAAAATACCCATGATCATATCTCTACTTTTCTGTCTGCTGCATGTTTCAATCGTAACTTTTTGAGGACACATGTGGAAGAAAGTATACTCTTTAATGGGACAGTTCATAAGTCTCCATTACTTGACGAGTCTGACAAGTCTTGAGAATGTTTTCTTAGGTGAGAGTCGAATTCATAGTATAGCCTGGTCAAGGTTTTTTTTTTTTTTTTCCCCCCCATTTTTTATGGTTTTTTTTTTCTGCACAAAAAAATGAAAAAAAAAGGATCATGGTACCCCATTCCTTAGGTTTATAGTATAAATTAGGGGCCTATTAATGAAAAATGAAAGAATGGGTTCAGTTTTGCATCCCAAAGATTACAAGCTTAACAATGCACTTCTACTTAAGAATAAGTAAAGCTTTACTCCCAACAAAAAAGAAGCTTAAAAACGCACAATCTATTAATTGGGTAAGGACCTTAAAAGTCGCACAACTTATTGACGGGATAAAGTATTGAACCTTGAATTTAAGGTGGATTAAAAATAAAAAATAAAAAATAAAAAAAAACATTTTGGGTGGATTGGAAAAAAGAAAAAGATTTTTTTAACCATTGCACCATCTCATTTGTAATAATTTTGATTATAGCTTATTTCATGATGTCTCCGTTAGATAAGCTGTATTGGATTGTTATATCCAAGTAGAGCTTTGTTAAATATAAAATAAATGTTATTGCCAAGTTATTTTCGCCTTTAGCAAAAAGGCAAGATATTGCCATCTGACCATGCAATTGGTTACTTGAAATTTTATGGATCTCTTGTTCCTTTTACAATGATAACGGATTCTTTTTTGTATTGATAATAAAACCAGTACTGTCACTTTCTCTACTTGAAATCTATAATATAAAAAACTACTTAGAAAGTGGACTATAATCTTTCTTTACTTGAAATCTTAATATAAAAACTACTTAAAAAGTGACTTTAATTGTAAGTGTTGGATCAAACCATACAAGTATATTTGGAGAAATGACCAACTGTTGAGCCCTCACCTACAAATGGAACGTCTTATCAAATTTTAATAATAAACACTTTCAAAGAAACTTGTGGTAGAATCAGAAAAATAAATTATCAATAATTTTTTATTTTTAACCGTTAGATATGTATAAAAAATTATTTATTCTGCGTACCTTTTTAGTCTGATGTAATTTTGATTAGACTCAACAGTTAAAAATATACCCTGTCGGTAGGAATGTTCTACCGGAGAAACTCCCACTTTCGGAGTTTACCCTCTTTTTATCTTAGTTCACTTGTATATTCCACATTTATCTTAGATCTAATCTGAAAGCGTGGGTGATCTGATATTTATGTGGTGGGCCCATGACTGTCTTCATACCGACTTGTCAAGCACTAGCAATACATGGGAATCACATATAGGTAATCTTGATCAAAATTTTCTCATAATTTCTTTGCAGTACTCATGGGAAAGAAGTTTTTAAATAGACAGTGTCCAATGAGAATAATATCACGTTCTGATCATTCATTATAAGCCTCTTACTAACAAGGTTTATCTACAAACAACAGTTTACAAATTAAGAAAGGAGTAAAACCAATACAGTATACAAGATCAAAAGCAGAAACCCAAATGAAAGAAGAAGAAAAGAAAAAAGAATTTTTATAGTTCAAACTAAGGTCTTTTCCATGGAATCTTGATCCATTTTGAGATTGAAAATACATGACGTTGTGGTGGTAGTAGGACTTTCCTTATCTTGTGGTGAAGGAACCAACGCCAAAGAATCCACTTTCCAATACTCACCAACATTAATCCTCCATTTTTCCTCAACAAATCCCCATCTCTTCTTCTCTTCTCTGATCTTATTCTCGTGATCAAACCCCGCATTGGCATCCAAGTTTGAGATTGATACTTGTCTTCTCCATTTGCACCAAATTCTCAGCATGGCATAAATCATCACCAAGCATATGACTGTGGATGTTGACACAATGGCCATTATTATCCCTATCACCGCCGCATTGGAAAGGCGCCTTTTCGATTGCCCCTCAGATTCCGGACATGCCACTAATGGTGGGCCACAGAGTTCCTGATCATTTCCCATGAAGGAGCTGAGTGGGAATGCGGAAAATGTTGTGGGAATTTGTCCTCTCAGATGATTGCTTGACAGGTTCAACATGTGCAGGCTGGTCAGTTTCCCGAGTGAGGAAGGAATTTCCCCTTGGAGCTGATTAGAGGACAGATTTAGCCTCTCCAACTTCATTAAGTTTCCAAGAGATGTTGGAATTTCACCAGATAAGAAGTTTTTGCTCAGGTCCAAGATTACTTGTAACTCACTCAACCCCCCTAACTCAGCTGGTATAAAACCTGTCAAGAAGTTCTCTGAGAGCCTCAGTTCATAGAGCTTCATGCAGTGCTGGATTGTCTCCGGGATTGGTCCTGAGAAGTTGTTTCTTTGAAGGTTAAGAACATTGAGAGAAGTGAGGTTTCCAATCTCTTGTGGGATAGTGCTAGAAAGGTTGTTGCTGTGGAGGGAAAGCTTGAGTAGTTTCGAGCAGTTTCCGAGCTCTGCAGGCATTTTTCCATGGAAGTTATTGGACGAAAAATCCAGCTCACCAAGCTGTTGTAACCCACCTAACCATGGCTGCATTGTGCCCGTGAGTTGGTTATTGTTGAGCAAAAAGTGCTCAAGCTTTGTACAGTTTGATAGTTGAGCTGGAACTTCTCCTACCAAGTTATTGTATGAGAGGTCAAGGAAATTGAGCTCTGTGAGTTGGGAAAACTCAGAAGAAATGCTGCCATTAAGGCGATTGTATGCAAGGCGCAGACGGCGGAAATTTCTTGATGTGGCTAGCGTAGGCGGAAGAGGGCCTGAGAAGCTGTTGTTTGTTAAGTCCAAAGCAGTGAGAGAGTTTGAACCAGTGAGAGGAAATATGCTTCCTGTGAATCTGTTATGAGAAAAATTAATGATTTTGAGGTTTTTGAGAAGGAAAAGAGATTGGGGAAGAGGGCCTTCAAAGGAGTTGTTGTAGAGAGTGATGGTGCTCAGTTCCGAGAGGAATCTGAATGTGGGTGGCAATGAACCTGACAGCTTGTTATCAGCCAGGACCAAGAACTGAAGCCCTCTGCAGTACCCCAAGCTCGGCGGGATGGGACCGGACAAGTCATTTTGCCTGAGTTGAAGCAGAACAAGATTCTTGAGCTTCCCAATTGTGTCAGGAATGGACCCTGTGAAATGGTTCCCAAAGAAATCAATTTCTGTTAAGCTTGAGCTGTTTGTTAGCTCTCTTGGGATGTGTCCTGACATCTGGTTATCGTAAAGGTAAATGATTCTTAGCCTCTGCAGCTTCCCAATCTCCGCTGGGATTCTGCCTGTGATCATGTTGCCAAACAGATAAAGATTTTCTAAGTTGCTCAAGGATCCGATTTCGAGCGGTAGAGTTCCAGTAAAGCTGTTGTTGTTAAGCGCCAAATCGGTTAAGTTGGCTAATTTTTCCAAGGAAGGTGGTAATTCTCCACTAAATCTATTATCTGAAAGGTCCAATTGTTGGAGTGATGAGCAGCTTAGTAGCTCCAAAGGAAATTTCCCCAAAAGCTCATTTCGGGCAAGAAGAAGCTCTTGCAGATTCAAATCTCCGAGGCAGAAGTTGCTCGGAATGCTGCCATTCAATGCATTATCAGAGAGAACCAAGGATGTGAGATTCTTTAGCTGAGTGTTGAGAAGAGAAATGGTTCCTGAAAGCCTGTTTCTTGACAAGTCAAGAACCTCAAGCTGAGATAACTTGTTAAGCTCTGAAGGAATGTTGCCACTCAATCCGTTTCCGAGAAAGTTTAAGTACTTCAAATTCTGCAGGCCACTAAGTGAGGCAGGAATTGATCCAGAAAGAGT